CAAAGTAACTCCTCCTCTGTGACAAGGATTAATATTATTAGTTTCAATATTAAGTCTATCAGGTCACAACTTCTCCTCAGAATGACAATGCTTATTGACATGCAAATATAGCAATTTAATATTTTCTCCTCACTTTAGAAAGAAAGAAACCTCAAACCTGAGTCATTCTTTTTAAAATTAAATCCAAACAGAGTTTGTACATGGATTTATATTTTGACATTAGCACATCGGATCACAGGCTAATTATCCTTAAAAACTGATGGTTGTCAATAGAAATTTTTTAAACAAGTTGTCAAATGTCTCACCAAATTGCATGTGAATGTTTTCTGTCACAACGGGACCCACTGCTTCAATGTTAACAAAATGAGTGATTAAAAAATGAAGCTTGAGTTTTGGCATGTTAATTTTGTTTCTCTTCAAATTTAGGAGGTATTTTTGCTCCTTTTAGAAGCACAACCCTTAAAAACATGAAAAGGACACACAATTATGAAGCTAATATATACCTTTACTCATAAAAATGTAAAAATGAATGTATATAATGATTAATAATATAAAGATTTTCTGTCTTAGCCAGTTTTTCAACCCCCTATTGGAGAGTTTATATTGTGTAGAGTCATACATAAATTCTTTTGTGCAAATGCTGCTATTAAAAATATTTTAAAAGCATTATGGTAATTCTTAATCACTAGTTATTTTTTTACAGTCTAAAGAAATCATAGGCATTGCTGATAGAATTGATGACAAGAGAAACAATGGTGAGATTTTAGTTTCATTCAGACCACCTACACCTCGCTAAAAGAAAAAGTGCAACTTGAAAAAGTAGTCATTATCCCAATCAAATCCTGAACATGAGGTTTTATTAGTACTTATATAACTAACTCTAATTAAAACACCATGAAAAACTGTACAGTGAGATCATTGTTACACTAAATATTGTTTCAAAATCTTAAAATTCTTAAAATCAAATGTAGGTTCTACATATGTGGCTGAAAATCTGATCACAGGGTATTTGGGAATTATTTGTAATAGTTCTGCACAATGTCTTCACTTGCCGAGAAGTAAATTACTTCTGACATTAAAAAAAAAAAAGTTTGGAAGCTTACATGTTTGAAAACGACTTCTAATGGAGCACTTGGTTTGTTTATTCTTGGTTCAAGGCAGACGCTTCTTGACATTTACGCTGCTATTCTCATGCACTCAAGGATGCTGGCAAAACATTGCCTTGGTTTGGATTGCCTTGAAATGGTCCTCAAACATCCACAAGGCCATTCTGGCTATCTCCAAAAGAACATCCTTTATTATAAACCTACTGTGACATCCTTCATAAGGACACAAAGCTTTGGACATACACATATGTAGAGGTACACCCATCTACTTCTCCTTCACCTGTAAATAGTCTGCATTCCCTTCATTCCTAACTATGGCCATTGGTTCCTACTCAGATATGTCCTTCTGGAGAGATATTATTAGGGACATTGTATAGTTGCTGAGATATCCTCCATTGTCTACTTAACCAATATGGGGTTGAAATACCACCTACTAGAAAACACAATAGGAAAATCTTGCAAAATAATCAATGAATCTATCTTAAAGATAACAATTAGCCTTCAATTCATTTTTAAATGAGGCAGCTTGAAGATATTCCCTTTTCCTGAGAGTCTTACTCCTACCTGGAAGCCCACACGAGACATCGGCTTATGTCTGCTTTATTCACATTTCCCTGCATCATTCAAATCAAACCTACAATACAACTCAATAGCCAGTCTCTGATTCTCCTCTTTAAAGCTACAACAGATTTCTAACTCCTTAGAAAAATTCCCCTACCCCTGGCCTCCCTTCAGGCCTTATTACCCTTCCCCTACCCATCCCACCTTCCCTACACATTTAGCTCCTTTCTTCTCATTTCTAAATGACAGTAATCTTACTAGGATCTTATATTTTATTGCAGATTATTCAAACCAGGGAAACTATTTGGTATTTACACATGTGTGACTTATTTATTTCGCTTAGGAGTTTATCTTCAATATGTAAGGGAAAAAAATGAGAATCAAGACTTGTCATGTAGAGGTACAAGATCCCAACAATGAATGTAACTGTACTGTATCCCTAAAATGTACTAATAAACTAAATTAAAGCTGAAAAAAAAAAAGAAAAAAAAAAGAAAAATTCCCCTAAAATCCCGCCCAATAAGTGGTTCAATATGCATCAGAGGATATGTGTGTGTGTGTGTGTGTGTGTGTGTGTGTGAACATATACCAGAACAAAGATGAAAAATATCATTAACTTTATCTGTTCAATTATTATCCTTTTAAATGTGTCCTATATGTGGATATTATGCAACCATTCTATATTAAGATATGAAAGTTAAGTAAAATTGATATATCTCACACATATATATTCAAGTTGCCCTTTAACAGAAAAAAATTGCTAATAATTTTCCCAAGCTGCAGTTTTGAAATCCCATTGTTCTCTATTTGTAGACTAAAATTTAAAAATCATACATCTTTTTATGTCTATGGCCAGCCATCTGAAATAAAGGAAATGGTGACACTGGATGTAGTGCTCTTCCATTTTTCGGAGTCTGTAGACTGGTGTATGGATGAGTGAAGGAATTTACAAAGATACAGCACCAGCCTCAAGAACTCGTGTCTCTAAACACTGTAAGAACAAGGAGGCCAAGAATATCACTGCAATTTGCTCAAATAAGCAAGGCAGAGTGCATATACAAAATAATAATATCCAGTCACAAAGTGATTGGTGCCAAAATCTAAAAAATAGTCCAAATTTCAATTCTTAAAGTATGTAGGAATATCTGCCCCGAAGACCACTGTGCTTACTACATTTCCTGTACATTGAAGAACAGTGATTTGAGAAATTTATTTTTAAAACCACAGAATGTTGTCATTTGCAGTGCTCTCATTCATTGGAAGTTGGGTTTATTTTGATATTTTATTTACCAAATTTTAACTGCATATATAATCCTACCCCATGGCCTAAACTCTTTTCTAAAGGATGTTGTCAGTTCCTCAATGTCAAACAATGAGTAAATGTTTATTAAGAGAAATTACTATATATTTTAAAATTTAAATGAAAAAGAAATTTTTTCACTTAATTTTAAAGTATTTCTCCATGAGGAGGAGGAGGAGGCTTTGGAAGTGAAAATACTATCACAGTCTAAAGTAAAAGCAGCAAAATGATATAAAATCATTTTTCTTTTATGATGTTTGTGTAGGAATCAATAGTTCATAATTTTTCTTCTTATGTTTAACCTCATTTTATCAATTTTTACCCAAATACTTATATCTCTTTGAGATTATATATTTTACAGTTGAGAAACTGATACTCAGATGCTGCTGGTCATCTTAGAAGGAAAAGAAAATTGTGCTATTCAATTGGCTTCTTCACAGTCTCGAAACTTTTAAGTCCAGCATATTTTCTACAATATCAGTTTTACATAATACTATTGATTCTGAAGCTATTCTATCATGCACAAGTGAAACGCTGGCAGCTCAACACAATTTAAAAGCGTACTGCATGACAAAGTAGCAGAGTAGTGAAAGGACACTAGTTAAACAATTCTGGAGCAACTGGACATTTTTGAATATACATATATATTACAAAAAGTAATTAGAGCTCAGCTTTATACCTTTCACAATAAAATAACTCACAGTGGATGATACACCTACATGTAAAATACAAAACTATGAAGCTACTACATGATTCCATAGGAGAAAATCTAGGCAACCTTGATAATCACTTTATAAATACAATATTTAAAAAGCACAGTTCAGGAAAGAAAAACTAGAAAGCTGGAATTCATGAAAATTAAAACTTTTGCCATGTAAATAATGCAGTTAACCAAATGAAGAAAACAAGCCACAAACCAAGAGAAAACCTTTAGAAACACCTATCTGTTAGAGAATTATTATCCAAAATATAGAAAGGACTCTTACAACTCAACAGAGAAAAATCTCGGCTTTAAAAACAGGCAAAAGCTCCGCATATAAGTTTCATTGAAATGAATACGTGGATGAAAACTCCGCAGGTAAAAAGATGCTCAACATCACGTCATTAGGAAACTGCAAATATCAAGGACACAATGCTTACATATCCCTGTGAGAGTAGCTAGTATCAAAGTCATCATGAATAAGAAGTGTTGATGAGGGCTGGAGCCACAGAAAACCGCATTCATTTCCCGTAGTCATGCAAAATGGTACAGCCACTTTGAAAGACACTGACATTGTCTTACGAGGCTGAACACAGATTTCCTTTGTATTTGAGCTAAGGCAAAGAATGGGTCTGGGTATACTTTTAATAATTATAGTAAAAGTTCAGTACGATACCAAAAGCGTGTTATATGAGTTAGAACATTATCTTAACCAGCATGTTAAGGCTTGCACCACTAGCATTTAAGATACGCTATGATCAGATTACAAGCAGGCAAGAATCACCTGTTAATTTCATTTACTTTTTTCAGTAACTGTATCACAATGGACTCCTAATGAAATTAATGTAAAAAACATTACTTTTCTATATGGGACTGGTAAACAAAGTTTCATTGTTTATATACACACATGCACACTTGAACTTTGGGGAAGGGTGGTCTTCAAATTGCCGATAGAGTGCATGCTTTATATTTTCTTTTTAAGCAGTTTTTATACTCACCATATATATAT